TAGTAAAAACAACAGTTTTTAGTAGTAAAAGTAGCAAAAACAACAGTTTTTTAGTAGTAAAAACAACAGTTTTTAGTAGTAAAAGTAGCAAAAACAACAGTTCATTTAGTAGTAAAAACAACAGTCCTTTTAGTAGTAAAAACAACAGTTCTTTTGGTGATAAATAAAATTATCTTCTGGTGAAAAGATTATTTTCTGAACATAGAATAATTAAATTAGTTAGATCTTGGCGATGTTTCGTATGCAGAAGTAAGTCCCAATAGACGATTACTTTCATTAGCACGTAAGTTGTATATGACTAGTAGTTAATTACGTACGTTATGGTTTTGTATAATCATGAAAAATAGAGAACAATGAATATTATATAGATGGATGAAAAAAAAAATGTAGTGCTGGAAATGAATCACTTGTTACTAACTAGAACTATTATACTTCTATTAAACTTACAAGGAACTCTAATTAATTTAGCTTAACACCAAATAGTTGAAAATGCTTAATGAAATCCTAAGTCTGGTAGAATCATGATGCCCACAGACGACGTTTCTTAATTAATATGAAAACTTATTATCTGTGACTTATTTAACCTCACCTACCTTCACAGACGTTTCTTAATTAATATGAAACTTATTATCTGTGACTTATTTAACCTCACCTACCTTCACAGACGACGTTTCTTAATTAATATGAAAACTTATTATCTGTGACTTATTTAACCTCACCTACCTTCACAGACGACGTTTCTTAATTAATATGAAAACTTATTATCTGTGATTGATTTAACCTCACCTACCTTCACGGACGACGTTTCTTAATTAATATGAAACTTATTATCTGTTACTTATTTAACCTTACCTACCTTCACAGACGACGTTTCTTAATTAATATGAAAACTTATTATCTGTGACTTATTTAACCTCACATACCTTCACAGACGTTTCTTAATTAATATGAAAACTTATTATCTGTGACTTGTTTAACCTCACCTACCTTCACAGACGTTTCTTAATGAATATGAAACTTATTATCTGCGACTTATTTAACCTCACCTACCTTCACAGACGTTTCTTAATGAATATGAAAACTTATTATCTGTGACTTATTTAACCTCACCTACCTTCACAGACGACGTTTCGTAATTA